GGCTCGGTAGTGAGTTTAGACTTGCTTCCGATGTTCGCTTTGGGTGCTCTACTGTCCCGAGCTGCTTGCCTTTGCCACGTGTCGGGCGATCGCGAGGTCGGACCAAATTTTCCTTCATCAAAAGGCATATTGGGAAGCTCCCGAATAATATGTATCAATCAATACGAGCCAATGGGATTGATACTTTGAACCTTGGTCATAATATATCTTCCCAAGGTACCATAATTATCCAACTACTGTGAAAAAAAACATGCTCTGCCATTGAGAATTCTTACTCTTTCTTCATAATCTTCAAAGCGAAATTCTCACAATGCCTTCCACATGTCGAACACTTGCTTCTTTCTTTGGATTCTAAACACCCATCACAAAAACTTCAACATTTGATAGAGAAATCTGCACTATTGGGAAAATTCTTCCATGTACCAGTCCTGTGGCTATCTCCCCAGCTTCATGATTTGGAGGTTCGTGTTTTACCAGATGAGAATTAATAAAAGTATAAAACTCAAGCATTGTATCAATTCGTCCTCGGCCTCGGCTTCTTGATTTATTTACTAGTTGGGTTTGTTTTGAAAAGTTGAGAAATAAATGGTTAACCCTAAAATGATTATAGGTGATGGCAGGTGGATTGCTCTTAGTCTTAGTGGTGCAAGCCTACTATGCCAACACTCAAATAAGAGGAATCGAAATGTAATTGCTTACGTTGAAAGTCTTTTTCTTTTTTTTGTTGGTAAAGCACAAAATTAATTCATTAACAAAACCTACTATGCCAACACTCAAATGAGAGTAATCAAGATATAATTGACTGCTTATGTTAAAAGTAATTTATTTTGTTGGTAAAAGTAAAACACGAACTTAATTCATTAAACTGGAAATAAGGTTCTTACAAACAGAATTCCAAAGGACCAGCTTAGAGGCTAACCAACTCGGTGGGGTAAAAATCCACAGGCTGGTTGGCGAGCCTCTACTAGTAAGATCATGAACTACACAATTAACAATGCTACTTACACAAAGTTAGTTCACAGAAACAAAATAAAATACCTGGATATAGCCTGAACATCTTTAATCACAAAGCAGATGTCCATAGACTCCGCTGACGCAAGACCTTCCAAGATGCTAATCAAAGAGGAGCAGAAACAACATGGCTTATGTTGAAAGTCTTGATCCATAGGTTTTACTTTTTGCATTTCTATCACACTACTATATTCGTAGCTTCTTATCTTTACCATATGTATCCTTAGCCTCCTCGATGTTTCACTTTAACAAAAACTTCCCTATAGTTTCACAAAAATCTGCAGCTACTTTCTTTGCATATTTGTCTCACTAATGAAGATTTGTAAGTTATTAAATTACCCTTAACAACTTTTAAGGACATCTTTTAATATAATTCAAAATACCATATTTGCCTTTATAGACATCATTGGATGTAGTTTTCAGAGTAAAACCACTCTATTATTTTTCAAATTGATTTAAGGAATTTTTTAATTATAAATGAAAAGTTTTTTTTTTTTTGGGATATGAATTGATAGATTTAAGGGTAAAATGGATATTTTGGAAAAACTAATGCATTATACCAAAATTTCCGTCCAAGACTAACAAAAGGGAGGTAGTGCAGGTATTGAATCAACACTAAAGGGTGGTTTTTATGAAAGTAAAATTTCAGGGGAGGTCTTTAGGATCGTCATAAATCTAAGGGGAGATTTTTATATTTTATCAAAAAAAAAAAAAAAAAAAAAACAAAAACGCGGTTTGGCGCCTAAAACTAAAAGCAAGTTTTCCCCTAAAAATAAAAGAACTCCTCACCAACTCTATCGAGTTATCGACAGATCCATATCTAGATGCCAGTGGCCATGGAGCAGCAGCAGAGACACCAAAAGATGGCAGAAGAACACGAAGAAGTCGAAGAGATACAGCACGGTCCTTTTCCGATCGAACAGCTTCAGGTAATTGTGCCATTTTAATTTTCATTTTGCAGAACCTCATATTTAGTTGTCAAACTCGAATCATTCTTGATCTTTCATCCTTTCTTCTTGCTTAAGGAAAATGGGTTCGATTAATTTTCCATGTTTGGGTTGGATTTTCATCATAAGTCGCGAAGAAAGTCTTCCTTATTTCTTTATTTATCATCATGTTCTAGGCCTGGAAATTCAAATGTTTCTTGGCTTCAGGGTTCTACGGGTTGCGAGCAAACGAGTATTAGATTTACTAGTAGGTGCTGATTTTTTGGAACCAGAAAGCAAAACCTGGAGACCTGTGGAATTGAGGGCAAAAGCCCTAACCTAAATGGGTATTCCATTTATTGGACTTACATGGATTGCGCATCTTGTTCTATACGAAACTTGGCTTATTAGCCGTAGAATCGTATTCCTCGTATTTTATGCTTGGTCTAGGTCGTTCTTTCTCTGTTGAGAAAAGTTTTTTACTTTAAGCTGTCCCGTTTATTTCCTCGAGAGTCGAGATATAGCCATATAGGTTATTTGATAATTAGTAATTGGTATCCGAGGTCACTCATAATAATCACTTTGGCGGGTTCCTGTTCGAGTCTAATCTTCACACTATGCCATATTTTAAGGGGACTAATACCCATTTAGACTGGGCGTTCATTGTCCAGAACAGGAACCCGGTAGGGCTTTTGCCCTCAATTCCACAGGTTTCCATATTTTGCATTTTGTTTCCAAAAAGGATGGCACATGTAATCAGAAAGCTTGCAGATTTCTCAGAAGATTTTATGCCATACCTATCTTTTTTCTTTATAGCATTATAACAACTAACAACTAACTCTATTGGCAAAATCTGTTATTATAATCGTTTGTATTAAGCAAACATTTGTTGCTTTCATCTTTATTATGTTTTTTTTTAATAAATTACTACCTCTTTCTTTCTTTACTACAATTGTGATATATACAATTGGGTGGCTCAGATAGTCAGTTTTACATAATTATGTGTAATATTTTCCGTCCTGAGAAAACTGTTTCATTTTGCCTTCGACAATAGAAATGTGGGCTGCCTAATTTCCCTTAACTTTTATGCCCAAGATTGGCTTATACGTTCATTCCATTACCAGGGAAGACCATGGGATTGGGGATAATCTCCATTTCCTGAATGCCTACATACGGTTGTTGGCTTGTTGCTTATTCTAATATTCTTATATGCCACTTGAGTGTTCAGTTGTTCTTATGTCCACGCCCCATATGCCAGAACAGATCATACTGATGTGGTCCTTTTCCTGCTTTATTCACGCTGCTCCTTTGATAAGTTTGCCAGTGGTCTTTCCTTTTGAAATGCTTTATTCATTGTCTTAAATTGACCTAAATTGGACGATGTTTGGGTTTTTATTTTCCATTTTTTCTTTTAAACCATTCTAAGGAACCTATATCCACGATGTGATATTGATCACTATTTTGTTTGTTTTTCATAAAAGGCATCTGGCATAGCTTCCATTGATGTGAAAAAGCTTAAGGATGCAGGCCTATGCACAGTTGAATCTGTTGCTTACTCTCCCAGGAAAGATCTTCTGCAAATTAAAGGAATTAGTGAGGCTAAAGTTGATAAAATCATAGAAGCAGGCATTCTACAACTTCTTTTCTCCCTCTTTTTCTTGTTTTGATATGATGATCATTTGCAGATTTTTTTTTTCTTGATTTACTGACCCTTTTATCAGGAAAAGAAAAATAGTCATGTTTCAATTATGTTGTTTACTTACAGCCTCCAAGTTGGTTCCTTTGGGTTTTACTAGTGCTAGCCAACTCCATGCACAGAGGCTTGAAATCATCCAAATAACATCAGGATCAAGAGAACTTGACAAAATTCTAGAGGGTAAGTTTTGAGTTTATGTTGACTAGATATTTATTCTAGCAATACATCCATAATAAGGGCGTGGCTTTGACAGCTGAGCATGTATTTGAGAGGAATGCGGTCTTACTGTCTTAGAGCTAGAAAGGATTAATGAGAATTATGGGGGGGTGAAAAGGATTAAGGGCGACAGTTTTGAAGGTTTTTGATAGATTGAGGGGAGGTCTATTTAGGGTTGGAATTAACAAAACGTTAAAGAATACAAGAAGGGATTTGAAGAGAAAAAAAGAGCTTACTCTTTCAACAGAGGTGAGAGGGAGGTCTCAATGAATGAGTCCTAATATTAGTCTTGGGAAAGGGAATCTGTTGGGGTGGTATTTAGGGACTTCGGTTGCATATCTTGTGGGTTTGGGTGACGTCTTATCACCCCTTGTAATTGTTCCCAATTTTCTTTCTAATACCTTTTTTTTATTTAGTTATCAGTTATCTTAAAAAAACAATTCTGATGCTCAGATATCGCTGTGTTCTTTTAATTTTGCATGCTTTATACAGGAGGCATTGAGACTGGATCCATAACTGAAATATACGGTGAATTCCGCTCTGGAAAGACACAATTGTGCCACACACTCTGCGTCACATGTCAAGTAAGAATTTGTCTTTCTCCATTATATCATTTGTATAAGTGCTGCATAAAAGGATCTGCAGTTTTGTTTTTTCACATGTGTACTAGACCTTGTCTTAGATGGAGAGATGAACTTGCTAAGAAACCTAGGTGAGTTCAACTGGTCATCATAGTTGTCAAGGCGTCGCCTAGGCGACTAGGCACCCTTTGGCTTGGTGCCTCGCCCAAACGCCTTGACTTTTAGGCGACCACCTAGGCGACAAAAATGACAAGGTGGGTGCCTTTTATAATATCATTTATATTGCTGTATCTAATTAATCTACGTGTTAATACATTTTATTATATGCTATATATATCAATATACTTTGTTTTAATGTTTTACTATTGACTTTTAGGGTTTTGAGTAAAGAAAAAGAAAGAAAGAAAGAAAGAAAGAGGAAAAAAGAATAGGATTATAAAGTGGTCCTGTTTTTTCTATTCTCTCTCTCTAATTAAATAAAACTGAAACTCCATCCTAAGGTTCAAAATATCGATACAGGGTGATACGCTGGTAGGGCGTATCAGTCTGTATCGGTACTGTTTTTTTATGTTTTTTTTTTCGAAACTGGTTCAGAGGGGCCGGTTTAAGGTTGGTCTACCCCCTGAACCACTTGCCAACCTGAAACACCCCCTGTAGGAGTGTATTGGGAAGGCTCCGATACGATACATATTGGTTGATACGGGCCGATACATGACGAAAGTTTGATCCTTGCTCCATCCTTGTTTTTCTATTTTACTTTCCATCTTGAATATTTATCATATAAAGTTAACCTTCTTTAGCTGCAAATTGATATGAATATTCTCTATTAAATCCTTATTATAGCAGTGTTGTTTTTGAAAATAATGAAATTAATATATGTAAAAGATTTTTATCTTTTAGATGTGATGATTTRCCACATTYTTRGAGGAAATTTAATGTTCTTAATAAAGAGAATTGCTATTTTTTCAATTAATATACTTGCTGAATGGTATATAAAACTTGGGATTTAGCCAAAAGTTAGATTTTTATATTATAAAATTTTTATTGTCTAGGTATCGCCTTGACTAGGCGCCCCAGTGTCGCCTAGAATTGCCTAGGCGCCTTGAAAACTTTGCTGGTCATGTGTCACAAATAATTCAGTGAAGTCAAAGTTCCTCTTCAACTTTCTTTAAAAACTGACCAAGTTAATTACTTACTGACCCTATAAAAATTGCTGCTAGAGGCCAATGTATTCACATGGCTGGGTCTCCATTGACCGACATAGCTTCGTGTCTTATCTATCTATTCTTTTTTTATCAATATCTCTCTCTCAATTAGAACGGTGTCTAAAGTTGTCTTGGTGTTTCAGCTTCCACTGGATCAAGGGGGTGGAGAGGGAAAAGCAATGTATATTGATGCAGAGGGCACATTCAGGCCACAGAGACTCTTACAGATTGCGGACAGGTGTTACACAGTTATCATAAAAGGGGAAATGACAACCCTTTATAACTAGTGTTTAATGGTGCTTATGTTTGCAGGTTTGGACTGAATGGGGCTGATGTTTTGGAGAATGTGGCTTATGCAAGGGCTTACAACACTGATCATCAGTCAAGGCTTTTGCTGGAAGCAGCTTCTATGATGGTTGAGACCAGGTAGTGTTTTTTCTTTGTTGGGTTAATTTTCTCCTGGTTGATATTGTTGGGCCATTGTTAGTCGTTATATTCATGAACATTACTTTGGTTATATTTACATAGTCTTGTTCCTTTATTCCATTTACTTTTATGGCTTATGAAATTAATTGGATTGCTTATATAATGCAGTACTTTTATGTGGTAATGGTTTAACAATTTATTCTCAATCCTTAGAAATAAAAATCAAAACAATTCTCTGCAACTTTGACAAATAGATATTGTACTAAGGTGGACTATATTTATCCAAGATCCAGATTAGGCTTTCTCCTCCCCGAGTCAAACTAATGGTTCAATGGATTTTATAGGTTTGCGATTATGATAGTGGATAGTGCTACAGCCCTTTACAGAACTGATTTTTCTGGAAGAGGGGAGTTATCTGCCAGACAAATGCATCTTGCAAAGTTCCTAAGGAGTCTTCAGAAATTGGCAGATGAGGTAGCTTATATCTATTTTTCTTTGAGATATTGTAATTGGGCCTTCTTGGTTTATTTGATGGATAGAACAAATTTTTGTTAGTTAGAAATTATATAGAACAAAGTGGGTATGGAAATGTTTCTTTACCCTACAATCTAAGCTTCTCCCACAAGATGTTTTAATACTAATAGTACTACTGGAACTACAGTTTGGTGTTGCAGTTGTTATTACAAACCAGGTTGTTGCACAAGTGGATGGTTCTGCCATATTTGCTGGCCCCCAAATCAAACCTATTGGTGGAAACATCATGGCTCATGCTTCTACAACAAGGTTTGTCCAGCTTGATTCTTAAACTATTTTCTTTTTGTTCCTTTTTATTAATCTCCCCACTCCATATTTATGATAGACTCGCACTTCGCAAGGGAAGAGGGGAGGAACGCATATGTAAAGTAATAAGTTCTCCATGTTTGGCAGAAGCAGAAGCACGGTTTCAGATCTCAGCAGAAGGTGTTACTGATGTTAAGGACTGATGAAACTCAACTTGGTGGGAAATTGGGTTTAAACATGTGCTCTTGTATCTTTCACTAGCTTGTATCTTATGAAAGTTATCTATCTCTTGAAGAATGTTGTACAAGCATAGAAAATTTCCTACCATTTGTCTTCTGATTGAAGAGTGAGAATATGTTTTGCTATAGGTCTATCAAGATCAATGTTTTAAAACGCGGAGGCGTGATGCGAGGCGTTCCACTACCTAGAGGCATGAGGTGTAGTTCAGAACGCAAGAGGCATAAGCCTCCTCAAGAGGAGGGGGGTTAGGAGGAGGATGAAGAAGGGGGATCTCATTTTTTCTTTTTTTTTTTAACAAATTTTTTTATTAAGAAGAATAAAGATGCATAACATTAGTTAATAATACATAATATATATTATATAATAATAAAATTAGTAGTGAAAAAAAGCATTATATATTATAATATATAGAATATTATAAAATATTTAATATATGATTACTAATATATAATTAATATAATATAAAATGTCTAGATAAGGCTTCGAGCTTCGGGTGCTATGCAGGGCCAGACTCGGGTCAAGATCTAGGCCCGATGGTCAGGTCTGACTGAACCCGACCCAGCTTGTGAATAGCCCAGCCTGAACCAGATCCAGCCCAGCTTGTGAATAGGTCTAGTTGAGCCCATGCCCACATGACCAATTAGATTGAGAACTACTATATAACCTTTCAACCATTGGGATCATTGTTGTTGTTTGTTAAGAAGTCTCTGGGAGATTAAGAACTTAAAATTTGTTGATGCTCTTCTATCCTTCCTGGGTGGTATTTCTAAATGTTTCAAAAAAGGGTTTCCAAAGCTTGTCTTGCAGTTTCGTGCTGTTTTGATTTGCCTGCTGTAGAAGATATTTTATATATATATATATGCTTCTCTAGGATGTTGTATTGGTATACAACAATGCTTAATCATTTCATTTCACTTGACTTTAATTTACATGTCTAAATTAGTTGTCATTTTTCTTAATTACAGATCCTACAGTGGATTGTTTATCTGAGTCTTCTAGGTTCAGAAACAATGCATGCATTTTCCATGTAAACTAAAGTGCATTTTGTGTTCATTCAGATTTCTTCTCAATGACTGGCTTCCCTCACTAAAGGTCTATAGACCCATCACATCTCTCTTTTCTGGTACATAGAGCTTTTTTATGGACATATGTCAAAATGCTTTGTCATAGTTTCATCCTGTCAAATACAAGGTAACTAGAAAACAAACAGTTAGGGACTGGGTTAAGATGCGGTCTACAGTAATATTTCTGATGTGAATACCATATAGAAACCCCCCCCCCCCCCTTTATCAGCTTTAACAATCAAAAGCATTTTACTAGTGTAAATGCTCTTACCCAGTTAAATGTTTCCCAGGAAAAACTTACCTAGGTAATTGCATTTACCCAGATAAATAACTTACCAAAAAGCGAACGGGGCCTTAATGAAAGTTGTTAATCATTAAATATAAGGATCGTCAAGATGAGAATATACCTAGGTGAACATTCAAAACAAAGGCACAAAGCCACCTCCTTATTCCCGTGACAGTTTGGACAAAAAGTTATCATTTTCTTTTTATTTTTTTTGGTTTAATGCTGTGGTTATTCTTTAGCTTTTGATGAACAAATTATTCCCATAATTCCATTTGTTATCTTAATGTTCATGGGAGCATATAATTAGCATTGGTTTCAAACTCCTCGTATTCAAGATTTTAATATAGGCTTTCCTGAAATTGAGTTGCAGGGTTGAACAGATCGCAATCATCTTTCACTTGAATGAATATTAATTGCCAATCCTGTGGATGCTAAATCCTAATTTCATCAAGCACCATTAGACCTATTGCACATTTATGGGCTGTATATATATTGTAGTTCATGCAACATGTTGCTAAGCATGCAACTTTGTTTTATTTTGTGGTTTGTGAATGTAACATTTTGTTTTTGTTTTCCTTGGAGAGGCCAAAGACCATAAAGGTTTTTAGGAATCTATTCTTACATCTGCTATACACCAAATCACTGAGAGATTGTTGATGAAATAGTTTGGTTCCGAGCCCCAAACAAGAGCCTTGCCAGATAGCTTTATTAGTTAAAAGAAAACATTTTGCTTCCTATTTTTTGGGCAATGAAAAGTTGAATAACTTCTCTATTTTACTTATAGGGTGTCAATCTGAAATAGGATTTGAGTTTTTCTATTTCTTTGGATCACTCTTAAAAATTTCTTTTTAATTTCAGAACTGGAAATTTTCTTGTAATATATCTCATGAATTTGCTACTATGATATTTCTAATGATATATGCTACTGTTTACTTGATCCTCATTTCAGAAATCTATCTTGTTTTTAAGATATTTGTTAATTCTTATTTCAACTTCAGACCTGAAATTGTCTCCAGATTAAATCACGTTCTAGATGGAAAAGCATTACAACTTAGAGTATAGGTGAATGAGTGAGGCCTATAGGTGATAGTTGCATATGTCAAAAAGAAGTATTCTTGTTAAATTAATTGCATGTATTGAAATAGTTAATTGTTATGTGATGAACTATGTGAAGCCTATATTTATTTTTTGTATAGGTGAATGCATGAGGCGTATAGGTGAAAATCGCATATGTTAATATATAGATGGCTATTACATTGGTATCTTGTATAAGAAGATGCATGAATGGTAGTAAATAAATGTGTAAATGTGACCTACAATTACTATATGCATGTTTGAATATATTATTTAATTTCACACATGATATTTCAATTGTATGTAAGAGGGACCCATAATTATGTTTGTCAAATGTTTTTCGAGCTTTTGAGATCTTTGAAAGAAATTGCAATCAAGCGGTTTTTGATTTTTTAAAAGACATACTTGTGAAAACTCATTAGTCTTCTGAGTTCTTGAACTTTTAGAAGATTTTCTTAAAAAGATTTGTCAAATGGCATAAATCTTTGTATTTGGGAACTTTGTTTTTGTATTTCTTTGAAGCTACATTTATCTTTTGCTAAAAAATATAACATTTATATATACAAATAATAAGTAAAATTGGGTTCAGGTTGGATTGGATTGGCTAAGGCCTCAATCCCAACCTAAACTTCAACCCGACCCAACTTATATTGCACCCCTAGTCATCCTTCTCACGAGTGATGACCATATACCCTAGGCTGTCCAAGTATAAGCTCTTTTACTTTTCCCTTTTTGTCAACGGATTAGACAACCGAAAAGGGCAACAAGGTCAGTTCTGTAATTGCGTGTGAAATAAAGAATTGAAACGGCAACTCTCGAGCACGTGACTTACCTGGTTTATTCACCACCGCACCCGCCGTGCGAAGGTTTCTTTTCTCGCTACCCTCTTCGTTTTTTATTTTTTGATAAATCCAGATTGGGGCTACACACAATGGGGGTAGCACCTCCGGATGGAGCTAAGAGAAACATCGTTTGTGTGTGCATAGTTAGCTAGCCAGTCTGCAGCTATGTTTCCTTCTTTGTAGATGTGATTAAGGTTCAAAGTATCGGAAATTCAAGGTGTATTGGAAATGTAATTTTAAGAGACATATTGAGATATGTTTTTGAAATAGATAGATACAGATGAAAAATCAAGATATGCATGTATATACTAGAAAATCTAAAAAATCCTTAAAAATATGAATAATAATAAAAATGAGTTTTATGTGAGTATAACTAATTTATTTAAATATAAAAACCATTCTTTAATGATTTATATAAAGTATTGGGATATAATTAATAACCATTGAAAAGTAATAGAAGAACTAAAATGTTTGTATGTATATTAATATTTATTTGTTAATATTTTTTTGAAATCATTTATTAGTTATTATTTATTATATATAGAATTAGATAATATTTATTATGTATACAAGTTAATATATACCTTAATTTTTAATAAATCAATATATCTTGTATTCATCTTATTATTATATAAATATTAATAATCAAATTTATAGCATTTGTCGGGAAACATCTACCAAGGCAAGAAATATTATTTTAAGTATAAAAAACATGTCTTTCTAATAAGTAATTAATGTTGGAATAATGGTTAATTAATTATTGTTATAAGCAAATGACTTGGGTTCGAAACTTGTTACATTTGTTTTGTGATTTTTAACAAGTTATTTAACTTAAATAAAATTTAATGACATTATTAAATGCTGGAATCAAAGGAAACTTAAATGAGCATTTAATTAAATTATATTTGCATTTAGTGATGTTCCAAACTTTAAGACTTAATTAAAAATGATATTAATGAGAGAGAAGAGATAAATTAAATTTAAATTTAAATTTGATATTAATGAGAGAGAGAAGAGAAATTAAATTTAAATTTAAAAAGAGGTGGGAAATTAAATTTGACTGATACATAGTGTGTATCGGTCCGTTTTGGGTATGTATCAGGCATTGCACGGGCATGTTTCATTTAAATTCTTCAATCCTTTGCCCCTAAGATGGTAATTTTATTTTTGTCATATGCCCGTATCCTATTTCAAAATTTTGAAATGCTTTCATATTGTTAACCCAAGTTGGGGAAAGGAATGTGGGTTGTGTTTGGTTTAAAGAAAAGGTAGGGAAAACTTTTCAAACCATATGGATTTCTCTAGTTCCATAACGCTTTTCCCTACATTTTCCTTCAAGTTAAACATAGCCTTAGTGTTTGGTGATGGGGTAATAGTGTTGATGGTGCGTTATCTGAAAGCTTCCTTTTGGAAGACAATTTGGATGCCAGACTATGTAGTTTGTTTGGTTTAGTTGTAAAGAAAGAGAGGATCGGAGTATTTGGGTTATTTTATTTGGTGTGGGCACTTTGATGCTTAAGTCAACGAATTCATCTATTCGAGGAGAGGCGGAACAATCACTCTTAGGACATCTATCGTACTAGAGATGTAATTGTCAAGGAATTTTGTAATTTGGCCGAACACCTCAGGAGGGAAGTTTATCATGTCGTCCTCAAGAGGGGCATCAAATTACGCGATTGCCTCTTTAGGTCTCTCTGTTTACGTAGTCTTCAATACAATATCCCTCAAGTAAGTCTTTGAATGAGTAGTCGACAAGGCTGATGTGGAGCCTAAAACCAAGGTGGAGGACCACTGTGAAGAAGTCGGCCAAGTTTGTATGTCTATCGAGGTGTTGAAAGCGAATTGGTCTTTCTCTGAATCGAAGAACACTTAGGTTGTGGTGCTAAAAAGCGGATTGACCAATTGTGGTAGTGGCAAAGTCAAAATGTTGTCGAGACAGTTAGATGGGGGTTGACCTGCATAGATCAGTCAATGTGTCTCAACGTCGGCTTGAGGGGGCTGTAAAGCAAAAAAAGTGGTTTAGCTTCCCCCTTTTAATTTTGCTAGCCAAGGTACTTATAGTGTATATCAGCTTTATCTTAGTTGCTAAAGTGGGTGGTCGAGGTTTGTGTTTTACGTAGGTCGAGGTTGCACTTGATCCTTAAACGTAGTAATCTCGTAGATTGTCGATGTTCCATGCATGGGGTACCTTCTTCCCCTTTAGGGTTTCGAGCTCATACGTGCCATCGACGATAACCTTTAAGACTCTGTAGGGCTTTCTTAGTTCGGACCTAGCTTTTCTGTATCGGGCTCAAGTACCATAGCTTTCTTGAGTATTAGTTCGCCAATTTGAAATTGACGTCTGTTAATTCGGGCATTTTAGTATTGAGCTACCCGTTACTCGTATGCCACGGTTCAGATGTAGACCAAGTCGCAAACTTCCTCCACTAGGTCGAGGTTAGTTCGTAGCTTGTCCTCATTGTCTTCTTTGTCGTATGTTTTAAATTGTAAGGTCGTCACTTGGATCTCAGTTGGGATAACGACCTTCGTCCCATATGTCAAGTTGAGGGGAGTCTCACCGTTTACCGTCTTAATCGTAGTTTGGTAGGCCCAAAGAACACTAAGCAGCTTGTCCACCCATAGACCATTAGTTTGGGAGAGACGAGCTTTGAAGCCTCGCAAGATGGCTCTATTGGTCGCTTTGGCCTACACGTTGGCTTGAGGGTGAGTTATTGAGGTGAAATTTCCATCTCGCCGCACAAATTCTGGAACTTGATGTCTTTAGACTGCATATCGACCAAGCTTCTGGAGACAACCAGAATCCACTTTACCTCAAAGTCATTTATGACTAACTTGACTATGAGGGCGTTGTCATATGGATATTGGATCTCATGAATGTCATCCTTGGTGAAGTAAATCACTTCCTCCACACGATGGCGCTTCGGTTGGTTTTCGTCCTTATGCTCAAGCTCCAGAACCGAGTTCTTTTCTGTCTAGGTGTTGCATCTTGCCACTATGGACCTTCTCGCAATCATGTTGATACCATCATGGTTGGGCCGCTTTGCTGGTGGTGGGTCTCGGGGAATTGATCTCTGTTCTGGTCCCTGCTCGACTGTGACACTTCTCTTGGCTGGTCGACAAGTTGGCTTCAGTCCTCCCGC